AAACACACTGAAAGTAATATACGTGTCTCCTGCAGAGCCCTGCATCACTTTGTACCCAGTAGATTCATGTGATGAGACCTCAGCTTACAGTTGCTCAGAGCCTGCTTCGTCTTTAGCCTCATATTACAGTGATGACACACTGTACACGTCAAGCCCACATTCGTCCCCTGAAACCCAACCCTCGAGATCATTCTCTTGGTCAAAGATTTTTGTCGTCCCAAAATTCACTTATGAAGCTGAGTTAGAACTACAGCAGAAGGATGAAGAGTTTGAAAAAAGACCTCAACCCCCCCAATGTTCCAGCCAAAGTTACGCCCTTGGGTGTACCACAGACGAAAAAATCGCTCCATGGGGCATTTGACCTGATTATTTTTTCCCACAGATTTCTGTGCAGCCAAACCTGAAATAAAATTTGAAAAAAAAGCCATATTCACAAAAGCCCTCACTTTGAAAGAGACAAGTCTCAAAAGTTTCCTAAAAATAACAGGAAAACTATTATGCAAATTTCAAACATAAAATTCAAACTTACATTTTTTTGCTCTTCAAATTACATCTCCTCACGGCACTACCCTTTGGCTAAATTACGTCTTTTTTGCTTCAGGGTGACATCACTTGTAAGAGGGAAGGCGTCCTTAAGTGCCTTGTCATAAACCTCAATGAAGATCCAGACTTGGTCTTCAAGGAGTACCTAGTAAGTTTACCACTGTTTCCCATTTAGCTTTGATCATTGTGACTAAGTTATTTTTCTGGATGAATAATGAACTGAGCATCATGTCTTCGTCTCCAAGCTTTTTTTTATGCATGAGAGCATGTCTTTAACGTGAGTGATCTGCTTTGTGTTGTTGATTAGGCCTCTTCCCGTGTGGAGATGGAAACGGACATTGCACAAACTGTCATGAGCATTTACACAGTCCAAAGTCATGGAGGTGTTGAGCCATATGACATGGGAATCGTGATCGAAGGCATTAAAGTCCTATATGACATAGACAGTGTGATCATGCCATTTATCATGCTTTTTGGGCTCATATATGCCCTTGATCTGAGCTTTCCAGAGAATCTCAAGTGCATCTTTGAGTTTTGCCAGAAGATCATAATGCCAGGATTGTTTTATTAATAAACATACCTAAACCAGATTTTATTTCATGTATCTTTAATGTGGGATTATGTGAAAAAAATCTAAATAATATTACAAATCAAAATAGGTTAATTGAACATGAACTATTCATATTCAAATAAATAATAACATTTTATTTGCAAAAATACAAACTAATTTCACTTGGTAAATGTAAATCAGTTAAACTGTATTGGATAAAAATCAGTTGGTCTAATGAAATAATATTATATTCTACTAATGAACATTATTTGATTCACTCACGTTAACAACAAAGAATTGTGTTATACCAATGTACTTGCGTTAAACTGATTGGATGGAAAACCTGCCCAAAATTTTATTGAGTCCATCCAATGAGTAATTTTTTTGAGTGTATACGCGTGTTTTGCTGGAGGAATTGGTGACTTAGGCATGTTTTTGTAAATGTTCCATTTATATATTCTGGAGTCTCTACTTTAGACTTTGTGGGCCAGATGCCGGTCGATTACATGGCACGTACCTTCACAGATTACAGGCGCTTATTTACGTCGGTTAGTGTAACTGCGGGTGGAAAACGAGGAAATGCAAACTCCACACACACAGCGAAGATGGGATTTGAAATATCGGTTCATCTGGGAAAGTAACATAAATCCACTATATTAAATATTATTATGGTACGTATGATTCTGAATTATTAGTCATTTTCTTTATATATGGTAAATGGACTGCAGTTATAGCCTATAGTGCTTTTCTACTCCTACGAGTACTCAAAGCACAACTCATGCCTCACATTCACCATCCACACTCACATTCATACACCGCTGGCGGAGGCTGCCATGCAAGGTGCCAACCTGCTCACCGGGAGCAATTTGGGGTTCAGTGTCTTACTCAAGGACACTTCGACAGGGTCAAGAGGAACCAGCGCTCGAACCTGCAACCCTCTGACTGCTGAACGATAGCACTAGAATTCCAACCACCAAATACTTAAAAGTCGGGCGGGGGGGCTTTTCTACAAAGTCTATTCTATAAAAATAAAAGCTCGGGACATAACAATTTGTCAAATGCAATTGCACAAATGTATTACACTAACCATAAAGCGAACCAAAATTATAGATGACTAAGATTCACTGTGATGCAAGAGCAGCTTCGGATTAAGTTGCTTAGAGTTCACATACCTCGGCCCATTCACACCTCATATCTGAATATTAATTAGCATAGTGCCGCCTTCATATGTAGGTGAAGGGACAGCTGTGATTCCAGTACACATGACAATACAGTAAGAATGTGGTGTCAGAGGACAGCAGTATATATATAGGCCTAACAACCGCGGTTTCCCAATGTTATTGTCAAACATTCGTATGTGAAATTTCGCTGCTTACAACACCGATCATCTGTCGGCGTTCTGTGTAAGTTTTCATACTTTTCTACTTGTCTTATTTTAAACAGTGATGAATTTTTCACCACGTGACATACGACTGTCATTACAATCGCCCTATGTATAATATCAGTATGTCAAGGATTTTCAGTAGGCCTACCTAAATTTAAAAATTTAAAAAACCTACTGTAACGGATTTCCTACGGATTTATTTTGTCGGTTTTAGTGACCGGTGTTTTAACGGAGTTAGTTTGAATCGCAGAAAAGCGCCTCTAGATGTTATATCACCAGGAATTTACTGTCAGGAAAAAAAATCATCATCTTGGTATTTTTGAAAAAGTCCTCGTCATTATCCCTAGCTGTAGTGTACGTTTTGGTTATATGCACCATTATTTCACTTTATCCAGTGTTAATAGGCTACTTGTATTGCAAAAGCACGAGCAGAACGCATCTCGTGATTTCTTTTTGGAAACGGAATAAGTACTGAGGTGAATTAGGGTAATCTGGGATTTTGGGTAATCTAGGACACCTAAGATTTGACATATATATTACCTGTTCAATTTAAAGCAGGTCTTTACGAGCACTACTACATATTAGGTGTGTTGTCATATGAATAACATCACATGACTTATAATAACTGTAGTATCACTAAGTTACATTAAACGATCAGAGACAAGTGATTCCACAAAGCTTGTGCTGAGCATGATGATCGTACTACAACAAGCAAGGAATATTTATATTTATATTTAGGATTTGCATAGGTATGTTTTTATTTGAGTTTACATTATAGGCCTATTTCTTTTTTGACGATTTTTATCCAAAGCGCCGTAGAGAGGTAAGGGTTGCCGTTTATGTGCGCTCCCCAAGAACAAATATGTTTCCTCTCTCAGTCGATTTCAGGAGTTTAATTACAAAGATAAAAGGAAAAAAGCAGCATAACGGAGGAAGAAGCTCTACCAGACATAATGCCCGGTGAAGGTATTTTTTTTTTGCTTGGTTTCAAAACACACACACACGCACAGAATTTTAATACGTAGCCTATGTAATATTGTAACGTGTTGACAGGATAATTCATTGCCGCGACCTGTGATTGAAAAGGTATGTGATTATTGAAAAACATTTCGATTCCTTAGTTTCTAAGGACGAGGTGTACGCGAATTCCTATATCAACGACGCCTTCCTGGAAGACGAGAATCCCAGAGAGGATGAGAAGGCCCCCCCACCTCCGGAGGAGCCGACTCCGGCGTCAAATAAAAAGCGATTGTTTAGGTAAAAATGATTTCATTTATGAAAAGAGATATTTGAGGACAAGTCAGAATAAAACTGTTTATTTATTATTATTCACACAGTAGGTCTAACTTTATCCATCCATCCATTGTCCAACTGCTTATCCTACTGGGTCGTGGGGGTCTGGAGCCTATCCTGGAATCAATGGGCACGAGGCAAGGAACAACCCTGGATGGGGGGGCCAGCCCATCGCAGGGCACACTCACACACTGTTCAGTCACACATGCACACCTAAGGGCAATTTAGCAACACCAATTAGCCTCAGCATGTCTTTGGACTGTGGGGGGACCCGGAGTACCTGGAGGAAACCCCATGGTGACACGGGGAGAACATGCAAACTCCACACACATGTGACCCAGGCGGAGACTCAAACCCAGGTCCCAGAGGTGCGAGGCAACAGTGCTAACCACTGCACCACCATGCCGCCCCAGGTCTAACTTTATGGAAAGGTAAAATAAAATTTAAATGAAAATGAAGGCTACTGTGTGAATAATGGGACCTTTCATTCTGACTGTTGACCTTATAATTTAAGGTCACTGGTTAAGACAAAATTATCAGAACTGATCTCATAGAGGTTTAAATACTATGATGCAAAAATAACAGGATAAATTATATTGTCTATAATATAGGTTGCAGTTAATGAGTTGTCTGAGAGCTTCACAAGTGCTATTGTGAGGATGTCTCAGGTTGGGGCAAAAATTAGTCAGTGGATCGTAGCCCATTTGAAGTGAGAGATTTTGCAGTTGTTCATTATTCGACGCAGTACTAAGTCACCAAACATTAAATTATTGAATATCTCATGGATGTGTGATGCTCAAAAAAGACTAGGGTCCATATGGAGGTATTCTGTGAGCTCATGGTAGCCCAGAGGCCCATCAGGCACTTCATGCTGCTGTTCCCTTCACTTAGCCATGTCCCCATATACTATATGTATAGCTGGAGAGGCCTGAGGCCTGTTTCCTTCATTGCTTTGTAACGTTCTTCTCCTTTCTTCATCTAGAAGAAAAAAAAAGGAACCAAAGGAACCAGCGAAGCTGGTTGGATTTTTCCAATTAGTAAGAACACAATTCTGTGATATTCCATGAAATTACGTGAAGTGGATTTTTCAGGAAAAAAAAGAGAACCTGTGTAATACTATACTTTATCTCCTACTTTGCCACAGTTCCGCTTTGCCAAACCTCTGGAAATCATTTTGATGATTGTGGGGCTACTCTGTGCCGCAGCCAATGGGGTCGCTGTGCTGCTCATGTGTGTGGTCTTTGGCCAGATGACGGACAGCTTCGTCCAGAGCAGTCGACCCTTAAACCTTACAGGTGGGAATTTCTGGGGACCTGCCTGTAGCCTTTAGCTGGGATGATGTACACATGGCTCTAGGGCTGTCACTATCAGTTATATTAATAATTGAGCAATCTACGAATCAATTTAATGATTACTTGAGTAATCAATTCTATGTAATGAAATAAATACATACATATAAAAAATTCCTGTACATGAGGCTGTACCCAAAGGCTAAAGGGCACATACCTTATAGTTTACGTATGACTAACCATTCATTGTAAGGTCTATGGACGTCTTCCATTAAGATGTTTATGCATTGCAGTCATGCTGTTCTTATACTGAGTTCTGCAACAGCATTTTCATTCACTTTTAATATGACATGCTACCACACAATCGAGACTTCCAATTTTTATTCGGACCCAGATCTGTTAATGTCCCTTTTCATTCTGCCATATTGCAGTGTAAACAAGAAGGCAGATTGTGATCGATGCTTTTTAAAATTTGAGTTATTGTGACGACACTGCTTGGATCAAGAATATCGATTCCAGAGTGAACCTTTTTGTATGTGCCAGTCATGTACATAGAAAATATATCTGAACTTCTGAAGGAATTTTTGCTTGAATGAGCATGCCATTGTTTTTATACTAAATGTGATGCCCTATGTCTGTTTTTCCACTATCAGCCTTACGGAATGTTACTCCCAGTTATGCCAGCTCTGACAATTGTCCTACCATGCCTGGAGTGGATATCGAATCCATGATGGCTAAGTAAGTGTCCTTGATGAATGTTACTTGTGCATTCATTGCTACTGTCGGGTGAAGGATCTTCACAGACGTAATATAAAACTCTGCTGCCTGTTCCTTTCACAGTCGTGCCTATTACTTTGTGGGGATTGGAGTAGCAGTACTCATTCTTGGAACATTTCAAGTCATGCTTTTCCTGCTGGCAGCTACCAGACAGACAAAAAGGATCCGTGAGAGATACTTCCATTCAGTGATCCACCAGCAAATGGGATGGTTTGACATACATCAGATCGGAGTGCTAATTACCAGATTGACAGAGTGAGTATATCTGGATACTAGACTGGTGATATCTATTGGGTGGACAGATAAATTATAATACAACGAAAAGGTGTTACGCCTCGGAGCGGGCGAGCAGGGAAGCAGGAGAGCGGGAGCCAGGAAGCAGGGTAGAACGGGGATTTATTAAAGGGAAGCAGGACCGGGGAAACACGACAGTACAGCACATAACGTCAATGACCGGACTGGGGAAACAAACGGAAACGCGGACTAAATACACTGAACTAATGACAACAATCCGAAACAGCTGTAAAACACTGGGATTCCACATGAGGTTAACGAGGGGGCGTGGCACACATTAGGATCGGACGGAGCGGGGCATGACAAAAGGGGCTAATCTTTAGCCACTGGATGGAATCG